TGGGCAGCCTACGTGGTGGGTAGGCCACCCTCGGGGCGGGGGTGCGGTGCTGTGCGGTGTGTGCAGAGCACCGCCGCGTCGATACGAGGGGCCGCGAGTGCAGAGAGTGCAGCGGAGTGGAGCGGAGTGCAGCTGAAGACGTGTCCTCTCGTAGCGCTCTCCAGCGCGAGTTGGACTCCGAGAGCACGTGCTCCGCTTCTAAGGCTGCTCGCCCACTCCGCCGCCCAGGCCGCCGACGCGACGACCCACTCGTACGCGTCTCCGCCGCCCAAATCCTCCATCATCGGCCTCCACGCCTCGAGCGGGCTGCTGATGCGGTCGGCGGGAGTGACAAGGAGTGTCGCCTACAGGAAGGTTCCAGGAACGGTCCAGGAAAGGTCCTGGAAGAGGTCGGCGGGCGTGACCAGGAGTGTCGCCTCGTCGCCCACCACTCGGACAAACTCGACCCAGCCGTGCGCGCCTGTGGAGAGGGAGGTGTGAAGAGGGAGGTGTGAAGAGGGAGGTGTGAAGAGGGCAGGTGTGAAGAGGGCAGGCGTGAAGAGGGCAGGTGTGGAGAGGGCGGGTGTGAAGAGGGAGGTGTGAAGAGGGAGGTGTGAAGGGGCGGGTGTGAAGAGGGCAGGTGTGAAGAGGGCGGGCGTGAAGAGGGCAGGGGTGAAGGGGCGGGTGTGGAGAGGGCAGGCGTGGAGAGGGCAGGCGTGAAGAGGGCAGGTGTGAAGAGGGCGGGTGTGAAGAGGGCAAGTGTGAAGAGGGAGGTGTGAAGAGGGCGGGTGTTAAGAGGGAGGTGTGAAGAGGGCGGTGTGAAGAGTGCAGGCGTGAAGAGGGCAGGTGTGAAGAGGGCGGGCGTGAAGAGGGAGGCGTGAAGAGGGGAGGCGTGAAGAGGCAGGTGTGAAGAGGGGAGGCGTGAAGAGGGAGGCGTGAAGAGGGAGGCGTGGAGAGGGAGGCGTGAAGCGAAGTGTGTGAAGAGGGAGGGTGTGAAGAGGGGAGGCGTGAAGAGGGCAGGTGTGAAGAGGGCGGGTGTGGAGAGGGAGGCGTGAAGCGAGGTGTGTGAAGAGGGAGGCGTGAGGAGGGGCCATGCGGAGTGAGCCGCGCCTCCTACGTGAGCGTCGTTCCAGACCACCGACTCGATGCCGGCGGGAGGGTGGCCGGGGCTCTCCGGCATTGCAAGCCCGACCGCGCCGACCTAAGGCAAGGTAGAGGTGAGGTCAACGTCTCCACACACACGAGGTGGCGGGGCGAGGGCCAGGCTAGCCCCTCGCGTCTCCACGTCTAGACGACACGGCATTGGCAGTGCAAGGCCCGGTGCGCGTGGGTGAGGTGTGTGTGCGTGCGCCAACCTCGACCGGCGACCGCCCGCCGTTGGTCAGGTTGAAGCGCAGCACGAGGGCCGCGCCGTCCGCAGACCGCTCGTACGACCGCACCACCCGCAAGCCGGCGGCGGCGGCGGAGTTGGCGGAGTTGAGAGAGAGGGCGTCGGCCGGCGCCGAAGCCTTGAGCATAGCACTCACCTCTTGCGCCGCCAGCACGGTGCCGCCGCCCGGCGCCGGCGCCCCCGCCGCCGCAACCAGCGGTGTGGCCGGTGCGGCAAGGGCGATGGTGGAGAGTGCCAGCCAAGGAGTAGCGCCTCCTCCTCCTCCGCCTCCGCCTCCGCCTCCTCCTCCGCCTCCTCCTCCTCCGCCGCCTCCGCCGCCTCCGCCGCCGTCACCGCCTCCGCCGCCGCTTCGGAGGCGAATGGTGAGGTCTCCGAGATGGGCACACAGCGGCAGGGTCGAGCTGCTGTCCAGAGGGCGCGAGAAGGACCAGTCCTCGCCCGTGCGGGACAGGTTCTGCACCGAGAAGTAGTCTCGCCGAAGGCGGAGGGAGAGGCGCGAGGAGCCGCCGACCGGCAGGGTGGCCGCGGGAGGCGTGACTGGCGCGGACTTCAGCATGGTCGACCAGCCGGGCGAGCCGCTGACGGCGTCCCCAATCTTGAAGTAGGCGCGCACGGAGCCGCTGGTGGCGTTGGAGCCTCGGAACGAGACGCCGCGGCAGGCTGAATTGGCGCTACACCGCTCCAGCGCCTCGCGAACCGGCAAGACTGCGGCCGGCTCGACGTCACCGCCTGGGTCGGTCGGTACGGCCGCGGGCGTGTCATGGACGAGTGGAATGTCGTGTGTGTTAGCACTCGCGCGGGCGTCGTGCTGTGTATGTTGAGGACGACTGGCGTCGAGAGGGTGCACGTAAAGAGTGATTGGGTGGCCGAGCGAGGCTGGCATTGCCAAAAGGCGGTGACGATCCAGGAGGGCACGCACCTGCGCCGAGGAAGCCTTCACTCCAGACGTACTCGAAACGGGCGCCAGGAGCCGAGGCGAAGGCAGGAGGAGGCGCGGACTGGACGTTGCGGTCGGAGGAGGGCGCAAGAGGAGGGGTCGAGGGCGGGAGTGTCGACGAGAGGGTGCTGTAATGCGGAGCGGCGGCTGTGGCGCTCCAGACCAACACGATGACCGACATACACATGTATTTCACAGCCTTGTTACATGTAGAGAAGAAAATACCTCCTATGGCGCTGTGCGCTGGCCTGTGATTCACAGAGGTAAAATGAGGCATTTTTTGGTAAATTACACTGTGAAAAAGACAGGAAAAGAGAGAGAAAACTCGCGCGCAGCGCGCGTAGGCGGCGCGCAGCGCCGCCGCAGGCGGCGGACAGAGAGAGAGAGAGAGAGAGAGAGACAGCAGGTGCGCAAAATTAAACGCCGCCCTGTTGGGTCTTGCTGGGTGTTGTGTTGTCCTCGTGGGATGTAAAAATGCTCTGATTTCGTAGCATGGTGGAGAAGAGATCAGAATTAAAGCAAGCGCAGCAACTCTCCTCCGACTCGAGACCAACCACCAGACGACCCATTCGGGAGTTTTCGCTCCTGCGGCGCCCCTCCGTCAAACTCCCACGCCGTCATATCACACACGGTTGCACAACTACTCGACAGATGACACCGGGCTTGCCCACGGCAGCGCCGTGCATGCTAGATACTAGACACCCGGCCGGGGCTCCGACCGCCGTTCGCGCCCGCCAGCGCTGCGCGCGACGGCGCCAACTCTTCCAACGAGGTGGCCGAGCCGAGGGCCTGCCCCTACTTGCGCGAGTTGACGACGAGGCAGAGGGGGAGGCAGATGAGGAGGACGACGAAGCCGCATCTAGGGTACCGAGGCTCCACCCCCCCCCTGGCACTTGGAGCACTTGGAGTGCAGTCGGTAACCTCACATCCTGGCGCCTCGTGTTTTTCGTGCCAAACCAGCGCGATCTCGGCGGGGCGTCAGCGCCTCTCGGAGGGGCATCATGCGCTCCCGGGGCCGCCCGACGGGGCGGGCCTCTTGCTGATGGACCCAGCCGAGGTGCCCAACCAGTTGGAGTGGCGCTGACGCGCTGCGGCGACCACCAGCCAGCTTTTCAGCGCGGTCGAGGACGGTGCGCCGAAAGAGTAGACAGTCTCCGGTCCATCCGGAATTTTGTCGTTTTAGTTAGCACTGCTGCTGCAGACAGGGCCCGCGTGACACCATGCCCTTCCCGGATCTCGTGTCCTGAGGCGTGTCGTCACCCCGATGACCGCCCACAGGTGGCTGACGAAGCGCCACTCATCGCTGCTTTCGCGCGCCTGCTCCACAGAGGGCTCCTGCGGCTCTCCCTCGTCGCGTGACCGCCGCCGACATCATGTGCTCGGTCGTCCCCGCCGGCGCGGAGCTGCGCCACGTCGAATTGTTCGGTGGCTCGACCGCCGGCGCGCCCACCCTCGCCTCCTGCGCGCCTCACACCCAGTATTTTCCTCGCGCGCGGCCGACAAAGTAGGCACACGACCACCTCCCTCCCACTCACCCCCCCCCACGATGCACAGCCCGTCCACTCTCGCCGGCAAGGCGCACGGAACGCCCAATTTGGGCTGGAAATGCCGCCGCCACGGGTTGGTGGCGCCCTCGGCAGCGGGGCAGCGCCACGCCGCGCAAACTTGCGCGACAAACTTGCGACCTCTGTCCCTCGTATTCACCCCAGATTTTGCCCTATCCAGGCTCACCCGGTACCGCGAGCGACGAGCCGCGCCAAGTTTGCTCCATTTCCGACAAGTTCATCCCGCCCGAACGCCGAGCTTCGGCCGCCTGGAGGCCCAGGACGGGGCTCGGGACCGGCCAGGTGTGGATTCTCCACGGCGCTGCGGTGTATCTGCGCGCCCATGGCGCGTTCAGGGGTGTGCCTGAGGCGTGTAGACTGCGGGGCGCCGCGATAGCGCGGCGCCGACGGTTGTGTCGCGCACTGTCACACCCACGACACGGTCACAGTGTGTGTGCAGTGCGTCCACTCCGGCGACCGTGACGCCGTCGGCGCTCGCCTATACCGGCTAGTGTGGAGCTTTCAGTGTGGTTGCGTGTTGTACTAGTGATGCTGCACTAGGCGGCCCGTTTTTAGCAAAAACCAGATACCACATCGCGTGTGGTCGTCGAAAAACCGCATCTTCGCCCGTCTGGAGGACCTCTTCGTACGGCTCCAAAAACCGCTCCTTAACGACGGCTACGCGGCCCGGCGGTCGATCTGCGCCTTCTCAGCGGTGGAGGGGATGTGGGCGGTATGTGCGTACCGCGTGGTGTTGCGACGGTTTGACGAGTGCGACTCCCAGCGTCGACTTTTCGACCCCACGGAGCCTCTACTGCTCCGGGGGGGGGGGTCTGCAGACCACCCGGCCGAACTTCAGAGTCGCGGTGCTCCTCAAATACCGCTCAAACGCCCACGTTGTTGTGGAGGGGACATATGCTGATGATCCTGGCCCGATTGGCTCGCTCAGAAAGCTTCTGGGCGGTCGCTAAGGTTCGCTCCCCGCACACCGGCCCGGAGCCTGGGTACCCTAGACGCAGACCTGGAGGGCGTACGACCAGAGCCTCGCGGCCGCTGTGGGAGCCTCCGCGGAGGAGACCTGATGTTACCTTCAGCGAAGAGCTCAGAGCTTGTGCGTGCCACGCCCATAGCACAGTCTTTCAGAAAGTCCGAGCGGCATCCTCCGACAGTGGCAGAGCTTCCTCCGGGAGTAAGAGGCGCATTATGAGAGTATGTGTTTGCGGGTTGCACATCCGCTGGTGACAACTGGAGTGTGGGGTGCGGTCGTGCGACGTGCGTAGCCGAGTTCAATATTAACGGGCGGGGTACGGCGGGAGAGGCGCAAACTCGGATCTCTTAAGAGCCTGGCTGGCCCTGGAAGTCCCGGCGCGTCCGCACACCGCAGAAAAAAGTCGTGGACTCATATCACGACTCCGCGCGGCGTGTCGAGGCGGCTGGCGCCGGAGGGCGTCGGCGCGTCCTGTTCGCGAGTGGTCGTGTCCACTTGCTGCCTCGACCTCCGACTCGAATTCGCAACGCAGTAGCCCCAAGGAACGACGTGCGATCAGCGTCAGAGTTGAGATGCATTAAGGCCCCCCCCCCCCTTTCCGACAAAACGACAAAATCGCGGAACACTCTAGCCTAGCATGCTAGCAGAAAGAGTGGTCCGAATTGTTTCGCCGTATGATAGATGTTGAATCTTTGATGTGGAAAGGCGCCTCAAATACCTCCGAATCGTCCGGGAAGCCCGGAAGGAGTTGACCGAAAACGCGCGCGCCGGCTGTGGGGCTGCCACAAACTCGAGACACGCTTTTTGGGACATTCGACGCTTTTTTGGCCCATAGGGAATACTCGTGCAACAACCACCTGGGTGCCCCCCACACACGCCAAAGCCATTTCCGTTCAGGCGTCCCGGTGTGTCGCCTGTCGGTGTTTAAGATGTGCGCTGCCCGGCGCCTCCCGCTCTCCACAGGATGCATCCCTACCTTGCTGTGAAAGGAATCTAACGCGCGAGCGGCGGCGGCCGTTCTGCTCCGTCACATGTCCGCCTCGAAGCCCATGTCGCCGCCGCCGCCCATGCCGCCATCGCCCCCCCAGCCGCCTCCGTGATGATGGCCGCCACTCATCATCTCGCCGACGACCTGTTCACAGCGCACGCCGTGAAGAGACGCCGCCCACAGCTGCCTCCCGCCCCTCCACCGCTTTTCCGGCCGCCATGCCGCCGACAAACCCAGCCGCCGCGCCTGCTCACACAGCTCGGCCGCGTGAACAGACGCCGTTCACGGCGCGCTCTCACACGCCGCCGCGCCGCGCCAGAGGCCATGCCGACACCCGGACCGCCGAAGCCGCCGCCGTACATCGGCTGGCTGTACATCGGGACCGCGGGCTGGCCGTAGACTGGCTGCCCTGGGTAGCCCTGGTATCCCGGCGGGGGGTAGCCGACGGCGGGTTCGCCATAAAACGAGCGCGCCTGGCGAGACGAAGGCTGAGATACCGGCCGAGGTACGGCCGAGATATGGCCGAGATATGGCCGACATGCGTGCGTGCGTGCGTGTGTGTGTGTGTGTGTGTGCGTGCGTGTGTGCGTGCGTGCGTGCGTGCGTGCGTGCGTGCGTGCGTGCGTGCGTGCGTGCGTGCGTGCGTGCGTGCGTGCGTGCGTGCGTGCGTGCGTGCGTGTGTGTGTGTGTGTGTGTGTGTGTGTGTGTGTGTGTGTGTGTGTGTGTGTGTGTGTGTGTGTGTGTGTGTGCCTCAGATGGGACCGAGGCGTGGCCGAGCTGTGGCACACAGCGCTGACCTCGTACTGTTGCTGCTGCTGCATGCAAAAGCAGCCAACGCAGAGGACGAGCAGGAGGAGGAGGAAAAGGCCCCCCGCACCGTGGGACATACTGCCGCTGCGACATTCTGCAGGGACGTCGTTATGCGCGGCACACATGGAGCAGCGGTGGCTCTTCGAGACGTACCTAAAGGAAGGCGTCTAGAGGGTTCCGGAGGGCTCGCTGCAGCACTGCTCGGCGCTGAACATTGTCTTACGCAGAGTTGGAGCAGATGAAGCGCATGTTGCACCGCACGCACGACGCGCCCATCGGACAGCAGCCCGGCGTCGCGCGGGAGCAGCAGATGCCAGGCATCCCGTTGAAGCCCTGCAGGCAGTTGCCGCCGTTGCAGCACTGGGAGCAGCCGGCAGAGAGGAGCAGCCGGCCGTGCTCGCCGGTGATGGGGTCCGGCGCGTGCGAGAAATTCTCCTCGACGTGGGCGGCCCTCACCGCGAGGAGCAGGGCGCTGAAGCGGAGCATGTGCCGGATCTGGGACGCCGACGGCGTCTTTTTCTTTTTTGAAAAAATTTTGCGCGCCATCGTTTTTACTGAGTTGAACTCGCGCCGTTGCAACTGCCATGTCGGCCGGTCGGACGAGAGCAAGCGCTCCGCGGCGCTGAAGGCGCGTATGGAGCAGCGCGGCGACGGCGTCGACGACTCCCCGGCCGATACGGACGACGTCTCGACTGCTCTCAACCAGTACCTCTCAACATGCGACCGGAGCAGGAGGGGCAGCGCCGAGCCGTGGACAGAGCAAGAGGACCGGCAGTCGCGTGGCCGTCGATCGTGGAGGAGAGCCGGCGGTGGGCAGCGCGAGCAGACGCGGCTAGAGGGGAGGCACGGACAACAGCCCAATCCATCAATTCCACTCGTCTTCTGGTGCCTAGCCCCGTGCAGCGGCGGTCCGGCAGGCTGCCCCCAAGGCCCCCTGGGCCGCCGCGGGTTTTGGAGTTATGCTTTGGCACAGCTTCGGCGATGGCGGCCCCTCTCTGGGGCTTGCATAGGCGGGGAGTCTCCCCCGCTGGTCTCCTCATTCCCTTTTTTCTTTTTCTTTTGAGAGCAGGACGCCGGGTTTGTCTTGTATGTGCGTGTCGGGCCGGGGTGTGGGCGAGGGGCAGAAGGGGCGGGGGCGTGCGGGGCAGAGTGCGTGTCGGGCCGGGGTGTGAGCGAGGGGCGGGGGCGTGCGGGGCAGAGGCCCAACGTCGGGCGGCTTGTCGGGGTCCAGAGCATTCGAGGGGGGAACGAGGAGGGGGGGATGGGCGGTCGGCGACGAGTAGAGCGACAGGCGCGTACGGGGTAGCCGTCACTTTCCTGCCTCACAAGGGCGGGGCTGTCCCGGAAAGTGAGAGACGCCGGGCAGCGTGGCGCATTACTGAACCCTCCCATACGTGCTCGTGCTCCTCCTTCGCTGTCCCATCTCCCCACCTCTTTCCCGCCTGGGCGGGGCGGTGGGCGGGCGCGCGGTGCGGCGTGGCGTGTGCGTGTGTGCGTCTGCACCGAAGGACCGCTCGCAGAGGACCATTGGGTTTGTACTATTAACAACGAAGGCGCTCTCAAAAAAAACGCCGAAATTGAACAGGCCGCGGCGCGGGGTACATCTTGGACTGCCATGCTGAAGATTGCCTCGCTTCTGCTCGTCGCGCTGCCGGCATCTACCCTGCCGGTGCCCGCCCTGCTACAATTACTCACTCAGGCAGGCTGACCCTCACACGCGCACTCCGGCGTGCGCAGGCCGAAACTGTCGACGACATCAACCCGACCGCTCGCAGCACCACATTTGCGCCCAAGCCCCCTCCCGTGCCCGACGTGGTCGACGACCCCGCCTGGCTGATCGCCACCTCCGGCTTCTGCTCGAACCTCAACGTCGTCATGAAGGAGCGCGACGTCGAGGCGAGCGAGACGGAGGGCGACACCGCGGCCCACTTCATGGCCGACATCGCCTTCAACTACTACCCGCAGACGGCGGTCAAGTTTACCGATTTCCCTCACCACCTCGCGAAGACCATCGAGGGCGACGCTGCAGAGGCGGACGCGCTGGTCTCAAGCGCGTGGGACCACAAGAACATCGCGCTGCTCGAGCCGACGTCCACGTGCAGCCCGGAGCAGGGCGACCAGGCGTGGGGCATCTCGGTCTTCAAGGTGGAGGAGCACCGCCACTGCAACGACGGCGAGACGGCGTGGAAGGGGCACCCCTGCGTCCACTACTCTGGCTACGTCTCGGCGGCGACGTCCAATTTTGTCAACGTGAATGAGGGGCGGTTCGTCTGCCAGCTGTTCGTCGACGCATTTTATGGGCCGATGATTTATAGGCCGGTGACCCCATTTTAGTTTGGATGCCCCTCCGAGCTACAAGGGTGTATGTCCGCTTTGCGCCATTGTTGTGAGTTTGGGGATTGTTGCCGCGGTTAGGCCGCCAACGACGTCGCTATCACCCAGGTGCTGAGCATGTCGGAGGGATGGAATCCGCGGGCGCAGCGTTCTTTTTCTTTTTCCGGTGTGCCGGTGTGTGGAGTGTGGTCCTCGCCAGTCTGCGCCCTTGTCGTGCCAGTGTGCTGTGAGAGAGGCTGGATTCTAACATTCTTTTTCCGAAGTATTTGCGAGTCCGGCCGTTAATCTTGAATGGATCACTGGGTATCAAACCACGGCTCCGGGCGAGAGAGCTGCGTCCTGTGATCGCTACGGCCGGGAGCACAGCTCTCCTGGCGACCGCCCTCCGCAGCCGCTCTGCGACCGGCCGGCTCCGGACCGGAAGCCGACCGAACGGCGAGAACGTCAGCGCGAGCGACAAACTGGCGCCGCTGCTGCTGGTGTGTGAGCGGCTAGCCTCCGCGCGCGGCCCTTCCGTATCCCTTCTCCTGCAGCTCCTTGACGTAGCGCGCGACTCTAGCGTCGCCGCCCGGGAGCGGGGCGACGCCGGCGCGGAGCAGCGCGCGCACGACGACGCGTCCGTCGTTGCTTCGCGGCCAGGGCGTGCCCGTGCTCGTCAAGAAGCCCTCCAAGTGGAGCGCCCTGTCGATCTCTCCGACGCAGCGGCCGGCGAAGGCGAGCTCGACGACGCGCGCCTGTGGACATGTCTCGGACGTGTCATGGACGTGTCGCGGACATTGCCGGCGAGGGAGACGATGGCGATTCGCGCCAGCAAACGTGGGTCTTGCCGGCTCGGCGGGGAGGCGGCTGGGTGCCCCTGCTGTGGCGGCGGCCTAGGAGGGGGAGACTGCGCCACCGTCGCCGCCGCGCGCGCCGCCTCCGGCTCCTGCTCCCGCCCCCCCCGCTCCTCCTCCTGCTGCTCCTCGTCCTCGTCCTCGTCGTCCTCCTCGCCCTCACCCTCGGTGCCAGGCGAGAGCGCCTCAGGCCAGCGAGCCAGCCCCTGCGGCCTCGGCCTCTGCTTGCGCGGGGGCGGCAGCGGCGGGGGCGACGGGGGGGCATTGGCCGCGTCGGCCCCGTTCTCGCGCTCTACGTCGGCCCGCTGCAGCAGCCCCAAGTTGGCCGCCTTGTCCTTTAGGTCGACGGCGCTGCGGCACGCCTAAAAGGAAACATGAGGGCGAGTCCGTGCTGCTGTGTCTCCCTTCGCCGCGTCCTTCGACGGCGCTTGCGACACGCCGCGATCACTCCGGGCGCGTCACGGCGCGCCGTGTCGAGCATCAGCTTCCACGGGCGAGGGCGCCGCTGCCGAAAGCCGAGCGAGCCGAAGAGCGACGTGATCAGCGCCTCCTCCGCCGCGCTGAACGGGAGGCGCGCCCGCCTCGCCGATCCGGGCGCGGAGCCTGGGGCGGAGCCTAGGGCTTCGTACCCGCTGGCCGGCGGAGGCGAGGCGGAGGCAAGCGCCGCCACCGGCGGGCAAGGCGGCGCCGACGTGGGGCGGGGCTCCGGCGGCGGCGGCGGCGGCGGCGGCGGCGGCGGCGGCGGCGGCGGCGGCGGCGGCGGCGGCGGCGGCGGCTGGTGTCCGAGGGAGCTGCGGCGGCGGGCAGCCAGCTGCATGCGCCTTGCGGCGGCGTGGCGCCTGCGAGGAGCGTTGAGAGAGAGAGAGAGAGAGAGAGAGAGAGAGAGAGAGAGAGAGAGAGAGAGAGAGAGAGAGAGAGAGAGAGAGAGAGAGAGAGAGAGTCCACGAGATGCACTGACCCATTACACTGATCCGAGGTTTCTCGAGCGTCTCTCGGAGGCTGTGGCTGCCCTCCCGCCGCACTGGGTACGCGAGGAGCAGCGTACAGCTTTCCGATGGCTGCGGCCGTCAGTGGGGGGTGGGTGGAGTCGCGCGATCGAGCGTCTTGTGAGTCTGTGAGTCTGTGTGAGTGTCGCTCCTGTGTGGCCGTCATCTCCCGTCCCGCGTCCCCACCCATACCTCGCGCCGGTGTCCCAGTCCGAGCCCGTGGCTGCTCTTCGCCTTCCTACCTCCCTTCCTACCTCCCTACCTATCGAGTGATCGTGTGTCGCACGCGCGTGCGTGCGTGCGTGCGTGCGTGCGTGCGTGTGCGCGCGCGTGTGGCGTGAGTGCGTGCGTGTGCGCGTGCGTGCGTGCGTGTGTTTGTGTGAGAGTGGGTGTGTGTGTGTGTGCGTGTGCGCGCGTGTGGCGTGAGTGCTTTTCAGTGCCGACTGTCTCGCCTGCCGCTTGGGTCGTGCATGTCGAGCAGCGCGACGAAGAAAGGGCTGGCGCGGAGGGAGGCGTGCCTAGTCCCATACCTCCAGAGTCTCGAATCCAGTGTGGGTTCGGTCCCGGTGTGGTGCGGTAGCCAACCGACTGCCTACGCGCTGAGTACGCATACCTCGGGGCGGGAAGACGGTGTTGTGCAGAGGGTTCAGAGCACCGTGGGAAGGAGGGGGGCGAGTAGAGCGAGTGCAGCTGAATACGGCCGATTGCAGCGAGCACGTGTCCTCTCGAGACAGCGCCGGTGGGAAGACACGAATGCACATTCCGCCTCTAGGGAGGCTTGCAGCAGGTGCAGCTGCGCGCTCAGCTCGTCGGCGGAGTGGAGGATGAGCCTAGGAGAACCTCGGAGAACCTCGGAGGATCTCGGAGAATCTCGCTGCGTGCTCGGAGGGGAGGGCGAGCCAGCGAGCGGAGGAGGAGGAGGAGGAGGAGGAGGAGGAGGCATGGAGCGAGTTGAAGGCTCGCGCCGCCTCACGCGCCTGTGCCGCGGAGTCGGTTGAGTGAGGCGAGGCCACAGGAGACGCGGGCGGCCGCTGACCGGACAGCCGCCGAACAAGATGAGGCGCTGCTGAATGCTACACGAGAGGTCTGATCCGGACCTCATAAAGGCGGAATACCTCCTGGCGCTCTCGGAGGCTCCCACTGCAGATCATGGCG